AAAAAAAAAAAAAAAAAAAAGGAAAGTGTGCTACAACCGCCCTTTTCAAACTCGGGGCCTGATGTTACCGCCTTCTGATGTTATGACTGCCTTTTCGAACTACGGCCATTTTTTCGTTGCCCATTATTGTTTTTTTTGCCCTTTTGAACTTCGTTTGTGACACAAACGTACTTGCCCTTTTTTTTTTTTTTTTTTAATAAGAATGTTTCTTGATTTGAATTTTGAAGTGATTTTGTGAATTTTATGGACCGAGTTGTCCAACCAGTTGTGTTTGCATCAGTTTTTTAAACTTATTTTCCCTTCTCTTTTTTTTGTTTTTTTTTTTCTCTAGAAGGGGTTACGGTCCGGCATGCTTTTTTCTTTTCTTTTCCCCCTTTTTTTTGTACTTTGTTTTTATTTGACAGGGTTGGCCCATCACGATTTTGTGATTTTTTTTGTCCACCCAATTCCCTCAGGATTTTCATTTTGAACACATTACCTGCTCAACAGTGACACATGTTTACCATTCCGCCACTTTTGAAATTGTGAATGTATTTTTTATTTCCAGGGTGTTCTGTAATAGTTTTGGTGGTATATTCTTCAACTCATTTGAAATTGTGAATGTATTTTTTATTTCCAGGGATTGCCAGAATCTGACGGGCCGAGAGAAACGTCCTATTGAAGACCTTCTGGACTATCTCAAGTTCATTCATCATTACGTTCTAGCAGACAAGAAGCCAATGGCAGGTTTGTGTCATCATTGCTAGTAGTCTTGTCCATCTCCCCCCCCCGCCCCCCCCTCTTCTTTTCTTCCTGCTCTTGGATTTGTTCTTTATGTCCTTTTGTATGAGTAGGAGTCTTTTTTTTTTTTTTTTTTTGAACAGGAAAGAGCCTTTCACGATCCTCTTGTTTTCTATTGTTTTTGCATGTATCGACATGACCATACGGCTACAAAGCATACTTGAGGCGCACATTTTCCGCATGGAGGACCACATGTGAGGTGCACCGCACATGCACATCTGTGCGCGTGCATGCTGTTCTCTCACCCCCCCCTCCTCTCCTTGAAAAATAAGGTGTGTGCTTGTGTGTGCAGGCATATCTGCTCTGTGCCTTACAAATGCTGTTGCATACTCGTGAATACTTCAACGAGTATGGGGCAGAACCAAAGATCAACCAATATAGAATGAGCATGTATGCAGCGGAAGTCTGATAATGGACTGACTCACATAGACTGACTCACACAGATATCACTCCACACACAAACAATCGTGAGATGTTGGGGTCTGAGCCAAGCACAGACGATGCTCAGGCCCCGTACAAACATACACAGATGAGAGGTGGGAGGAGAGACGAAGGAGGTGGAAGATGTAGGTAGCACCAGATGTCACCGAGATAGAAACCAGTAGGTCACCGATATGGTAATCCAAAATGTCATCGAACAAGATCAAATGTCGGGGACAATAAGTCACCGATGTCGGAGATACAAAGTCCTAATGTAACCGGTGTCCAATCTGTGATGCAGCCGAGTATCATCCCCAACAATCTCCAAGTCTTGAACCCGGTAAGTACCACAGTGTGGCATACTGGGTAGCCACACGGGCCTACAGGGCCCGTCCCGGACATTCAGCCTAAAAGCCTAAAACTTAGGGCTTACAGGCCCCGTTCATTTCAGCCTGAATGCTGAAAAAAMCAGGGCCTGCAGGCCCTACCTCGTTTCAGCCTATTTCTGGGTCTTTGCAGACCCAGAGTTTCAGCCTGAAACGGAGGGCCATTTTCAGGCCCTCATTATTTCAACCTGCCCCTAAGACTCAGGCACGGAAACAGGAAT